ATAATTAAATTAGGCGTCTCGGATTCTTTAACGTTATAAATTTCTGATAATTTTGAATCACCTAAAACAACAATGCCTATTTTTCCACTGGCCAATCTTCAATCAACACTATAACTAATTAAACATAATAGTTTCAGGATATCTTCATGAAGCATTGTCATGACTTGACAATCACGTAATATGATTGATAAAATTAATGAAACTATTAACAAAATCGGTCAGCAAATTGACTTATAATTATCACTAGTGTTGTTTTTCTCCATTCACTACTGATGATTACAGTATGTTTCTCTATCAGTTGCTCATTCAGTAAATATCTCAAAACTTTGTCAGTCTAATTGATCGTTTAGCGACACAATCATGCATGCAAATAATCAGTATAAGCAGTCGAGCAAATATCCTGCAAACTGAAAACATCAATGTCGAATTTACCCCAACACTGACTAAGGTTCAAGCTATTATCATAGGCATGAGTTGGGAGTGCACTCCCCTTGGTTACAACTTATGTTCTCCCTGATAATCACATGAGCATCACTCACTATTAATCATCTTGTAAAAAATTATTTAGCCAAATACACCTTGCAGCACCACATCACTTAGTAATATGACACATAGGTTTGACTAATTTCAATAACGTATAACCACTGTATCTCAATTAAATCGTGTTCCGCCTTATGATAAACTGCATACTTTCAACTAACTTGTATACTCAATCAGCCGGCAAGTATAGATATAAATAAATAGTCTGCCGCAGATCAGAACATTGAGTCTAGAGCATGTCTCTTAAGAATACACTCATGTTTAACGATTTGTTCCTAGCTATCTATCCAAAATTCACATAATTACCACTCACGTATTTAAATTCTGTTTTGGTAACCATTCATGTGTATTAGTAGTATTAATAAATTCTATCACAGTCAAGTAAAAATGAGGTTGAGAAAATCTCCCCGTAACTAAACAAACCGTATTAAACTAACTGGAACACTAGTTGGAATTCTTCTCCACGGTAATACTTTTGTTCCTTCAGTTAGCCTACTAATACAGATGCAATTGGAAATCGACTCATATGGACAACTTACCGACATAATCGTTATTTAATTTCATAAGTTAGACTAAAAGTAGTACTAATATTAACATTTCTACAATATTCATAACTTTAATATTTCTAAACACAAAATACTTACTACCTATACGTTAAGTTATCAACCAACGGCTATTACACACGCATCGTTTTATTATTACTATTATTATTATTGTAATCCCATTTTTTTATAGCTCAAATAATCACTCAAATTTTCATTGTAAGCGTGTTAAGCATGAAGACAGATATTTTAAAATTATTACATGTATTTCCCGACCAGATGCTGCCGTCTTCTTTTTGATTTATCTTTCAGCTTGTCATCACCCGGAGGAATCTTACTATTCTTGGTAACCTTCGGCACACTACAGTCCCATCCAATTGGGTATCGAACCAACACCACGTTGATTCTGGTGGGAGAGTAGTGTAGTGGCATTGGACCATAACCACACTATCCTCAAAGCTGAATACGAGATTACTCGGAAAATAGGTATTCAATATTTAACGCGAAGAAATACCTAACGATGGAGAAGGCGCGAATAATGAATTGAATAAACTGAATGAATTAGGGTTGATCGAACGGCATGGTTCGGCCATGCAGGCGTGGCCTCTGCTGAATGTTACCTTATATCTTCTATTCATATTAAATATATTGTTCTTTTTCTAGCCTAACCTTGTTCTACATCATGTATTGGTAATTGATACGATACAATGAGTTGGTGTAGTCGATGGTGTGACTTCCACGTAAGATCTTATGGATTAGGCAGTTATATCATGACAAATCTACAAATTTAGGATTAGGTCTATTAATAAAGCAGTGCTAATATCATAGTAGACCATAAATTCTACACACTTATTTCTTTATTTTATTAAAATGCTCTTGCATTAATAAATAACTTAATAAAAGAGAATTCGATGGAGCAGTCGTATCTTAACTATCTCTTCGTGAAAATTGTCTGCTCTGCTTCTCGTCATTTTTTTTCTTGCACCATTTTTCAGCCTTCTTGAGATATGCTACCGAAAACAGATATGGAACGGGTGATTTCGTCATTAAAACCTAAGATATTCTAAAGCGATATAAGGTCGCGATTTCTAGAAGCCCCCAACTTCACATGAATCTATTCCCGACCATCAGTTGCACGTCGCGACGTAACCTTCATAAGGCACGCTAACTGCGATACTGACTAAAACCATCTAAATTCATATCGTGTAAAATATCAACCCAGCTGAGTAATTTGCCACAGTGAAAATCGTATCATTTGTGACAATTTGATGTTACCTGCAAACCTTCATGTAACAAACTGTTATTTGAGATTAAATTATGATAAATGACACACATCAACCAGTTGCCCTCCATAAAAAAGGTGCATGCAGCGGTGGTCATGTAACAGTATAGGTTGGTTGGTTAAGAGTTGACCCCAAACAACCAAGCATATGCCAAAACAGTATTGTTCAAGTATTCATTCACTTCCTTATTTTGTATAAGCGTTATATTACTTACTATCTTATGTTGAATGTTGAAAGCCTTTGTTTGTCTGAACAGATAATCCCACGCTTCACTGTGACTGCGCTAAGATCGAAATAAAGACCTATTCACTTCTTGTCTGGCTTCTTCTATCATTAACACGAGGGTTACCTATAGGCACGAAAGTCACACTTTCTCGTGTCTATTCTTTTTAAATTTTTCTGCAATAATGTTATTTGTACTATGCGGTCATCAATGCGTCCATAGTACCTGCATATGACGAAAATGTAAGTCACGACATGTGTCAACCGAGAAATGTCAGATAGACATAATGTGGGAGGTCATTTCATTCTTATCCAAATCCATTAGCCCCCCAAACATCTACCTAGTTCACTCAAATGTGTGATGTACAGACCCATTGCTTATAATGTGATAACGATTAGTGGGGTTGACGATAAAATTTGGTAATTACATTTGAAGATGTCAACAGGTTAAAAAAGAAGAATCAGCGACTGTGCAATAAATTACGACCCAAACAGATTGAATAAAACTTTGTTCTTTCAAATATTACGTCTAACATTCAAAGGTAGTCCAAAGTTGAACATCCAGACTTTTTGTTGCAGAGATCCCAATGAACTTACCTCGAGGCGGTTATTACATATTCGTAGTGTGCGGTATTGGCTATACGATTAGATTGACACGACCTTAGATCTAAAACTAATGGTTGATTGGCCGGATTAGTAGTTGTTGCTATTTAGAAGCTGGCTGAACTCGGAGTATGTGCGCATATCATCGAGGGATTTACTCCAACGGCAATTTCAGCTAACTGAATGAGTTGACTACCACACATTCGGTGAGTTTTTAAAACAAGCCTTGGCACCTAGGTATGCTTGGAACAAAAGCAGCGGATTCAAACGTAAAATCTGAATCCAGTACCACAACGAAGGATTCTAGTACTGCGGAACAAAAACTATGTAAAATATTATCAATGCTAGAAGATAAAACGTCAGCTGTATCACAAATCCAACCACCTGAAAAATATTTTTCAGGAGAATCTTTTTTTGTATGGGATATAGAATTTCGACAGTACTTGGTGAATTTTACCACCAACTGATATGTCTGAATACTAGGTACTCTCTTCTCTAGAGTTGCATTAAAATAGCTATAACTTTCAGTTATTGAGATTATAACAACGGAGTTCATAAATAACCTTCTCACTGAAATAGGAATAGTATTCGGGCCTTCAAAAAATCCTGTTTTGTTGAGGAAACAGTTTTGTTATACTTAACAGAATGAAGGAGAAAAATCAGCTGCGGATATCGAACGTTTTCAAGAGCTGGCAACAATAGCACTCTCAAATTACTCAGGAAAAAATATCCAAGGCGTCCGTTGTTAACAAATTCATCAAAAGTATAGGTTTAATCTTGTGCGGTGCCGGAGAAAAGAGAAAAAAGTGTAAAGAACAAAAGAGTATCAAGAGTTTTGAACATAAACCCTAAACAGTATTTTATAGTTTGTAGTAGAGAAGGCAAAAGTATGGTAAATTAGCAAATAAAACTCATGCTACCTGCCACGACCAAACTAAAAAAAAGTATAATCACTTTTAAGATGACAGAATAAAGTTACAACAGACAGTAAGTTCTGACTTGTCAAAAGGTTAAATGGGTCTAAATAATGGAAGAAAAGTGAGAGTTGAAATAAAGTAGGCCGTTTATTAGAATCAGAAATGCGTCTACAGTGTGTAAAAATGTTCTATTTATTTTAATCTGTTTTTCATGTTACTTTGTTTTTGTGTTGTGACTACAAACCCTTCGCTCGACTGCCGTGCAGCTGCCGAACTCAGGAAAAAAATAATGGTGAGTGTAATACTAAAATGTCTGTTTTGGTTGTTTGGATAATTAGACAACCATTTGGTAAGCCGAGTTATATAATCATGTCAAGCTTTATTATCAGTTCCCACACTAGAAACTACGGCTACGAGAGGGAAAACTCGATTGCTTTCATAAACGACTTTATATCATTTATCAGTTTTGTTATTACTCTGCGTATAATAGAACAGGATAAAATAGCTTCAAATGGCCTAATATCGGGCCACTAAACATTAAGTGAAGTATTTCAACATAGAGATCGTTTAAACAAGCGTTTTTGCTTTAAGACAACCATTTACATGCGATCGTTGACTCTATTGCTATTTTCAAACAAGTTCGTTAGATATCACGTTATCGTCTCCAAATCCACGGAAACACATAGAGCCAGCTAGGTTTTATATCATGTCCATTTAAATGTGTGTACAGTAGGCCATTATAAAATTCCATAGATGAGCAACATACGAGATGTGGTAAATAATAGAGTTATTAGCTGGATGTCTTTTTTCCAGCCAGTTAAATCACTTAAAACCGATAGACTAATCATTCAATGTTGACAATTATTTGTCTGCTTATTTAGTACATTATTGCAGCCAAAACTGTTGGTTGAAGCTTATTATCTGATATAAAATTTGTGACTCACGGATTCACAGAATCTCTCCTCATTTTCCTCTCAACATTTTGAATTTTATTCATAATGAGCAAAGTTTGTTTTAAACACTCAAATCCAAGAGACAGTACCTCTGTGGACTTACAAATATGAGTTCTGCAATAACAATGCAACGTTGTGGGATAAGTATCAATTCAGAGTCTCTAGTATTAATCTATAAAAGAGGCCTGAAAACAAGAAAAAGGAGAATTCGAATTTCTATGCTTCAAAATTCATCGGTCATTGAGACATTTAAGGCATTACGAGCGAACGAGCGTCATAAAAAGTTCATAAATCTTATTCCTAAGACACAGCTTTTACGACTATTGACGATTTTCAAAGATTTGTGTAGCGGAATGAATCTTGAAGACTCTTTGAACAGAAGAAAGGAAACAGATTATATTCGAAGTGATGAAGACTCCAACAGTGTTGATTATAATGTCTTGGAAGGGTTTGTTTAAAATGTTTTTTCAGGTATTTTATAACACTTGCATGATTTTTTTAAGAGCACTTTTGGTTGTTAGTTCACGATATTTAAAATATACAACCTTCACATCGGGCATTTTCTTAGAAGTTACATGACAGAATAAAGTAAGTGCGATAGACGGTCCCTGTCAACTAATGGCTGTTAAGCAACTCTCTTTTTGCTTAACCATACGATTTTGTAACACAAGAGATATGTAGTTCAATTGCTCATGTCCATGGGTAATATACTGCTACGATAAAATTTTAATAAATTCCCCGAAATTTCTGCTACTTTGGAAGTGGTGTACGGTTATTTACCAGAAAAGCATGCTTCGAATAATAAAGTCATAAATGGATCTGGAAGAAAGAATACTGATAAGGCAGGAAAATTGGCAACCACCAAAGCATATCCCTATTTTAAGAGAGAAATATTGAACTATTTCGTAGTAAAAGTGTTTAACATATTTATGCTGTGTTGGTAGCATTTTTAACTATCTCATTAACTTTTATGGACAAACAACTTTCGAATATTTTTTTAACATAAATTTGATTTAAATGTCTATTTTGTTAGCCTTATAAATTAAAAGTAAGAAGAATTCTACTTCCAAAGGTGATAGATTTAAGAATTTTCTTGCATTTCAGTAAAGTTTGTTGCGTCATAAACTTGAGTGTTTTCTTGTGTTAACTGTTGGCACTAGCGAAACAGAAGACGGACTTCGCTTAGTGACCTTGAATCTACGTTTTAACGTGATGCCAAAGTTTTTTCTCATTTAAAATCTGTCTCTCTATTTTCTCATGACTTTCTTGGTGTTGTTGGTTGCGCAACCAGTTTGAGATAAAACTTCAGTTTGAGCTACCTGATGTACTCTGCTTTAAATCCTGCAAGATTGATACTAGTTTATATCTATTTAACATGCGGTTATGGCAGTTCGAGTTTGAAAGATGTGTTTAATAATGTAAAACTATGATAGTTAGTAGTGTTTGAATTATAGTATGAACTTAAAATCCCAGAAATAACGCGATTAGATCAAAAAGCACTCGACGAATGTACTGTAACTGGAATCCAAAACCAAGCAATAAACAAGTACAAAGGAATCATTAGTTCATTCAAACATCACAAAAGCGTCCTACACAATTTAGGTTTATGTGAATTCAGAACTATTTAAAAAGTCTTTTGAGACTTAAATTTCCAGACGAAACATTTAGAGTCATTACTTTTTATTTTAGGTTTTGATAAAGTTGCAAACTATGTTAGCCCTCTACTCTATGTTTGAAGTCTCAACGATCAATACAGCAGCTTAGAAACAAACTACTTTTATGATTTCACATATGGTTTTTCGTTTTGTACGCTACGTAATATGAAATCTGTAGTTAGTTCAACAACCTGCTATCTGTATACTATACCGATGCTGGTGTACACTGCCCTTGTAAACTACAATTAACAAATTTGGTTTGAGGCTAACCAGTACAGATTTTCTACGATCTGTAACTTTAGAATCAAATAAACGACTAATTCAGGAATTCGTCGACTGCGAACATTAAGATCAAATAAAAATTCCTATGTTGTTAGTATCTGAATTTTTATTTTCTTATTTTTGGAGTGTCGAATTTTTTCCAGAAACTCCGAGGTGCATTTTAAGTGGTGACTAAGAATTTCCATCATTACTGCTACCATGCATTAGCGTTTCTTGGTTACGATTATTTGTAAGTGATAAATATTAAAAAAGAATCTAATTTCACTCTCCTATATGATGATTGTGATATTTCGGTAGATAACATAGAAAAGAGTGCAAACCTATTGAACAACTGCATCACTTATAAATTTTACTGATCACTTTTTCCTGTTTTTTATGACTAAGGCTTTTTTCGAGCCTTGTTCTACACTAAAAATACACCGCCTGTCGAAGTAGGCGTTAGTTAAGCATACGTAACACATATTCCAAACAACTCAGTTGACTAAGGTTCACTACTTTGTCAACTGATTTGACACCTTTACATAGTATTATATTCCTCACTCAGGCATTGTTTACTCCGTGGTCCCAAAATGCCTGAGCAATGTTCCCTAGACACCTGTGATGAAATATTAGTAATCTACGAATATCCTCTACTCTTAATGACAAAATTTCATATCCATAAATTTTAATAACTGAATCTGCGAGATGTCTAAAATAACTATCCATTAACGTAGTAGCAACGTCCAAAAAACATTTGCGTTATAAAACGTTTAGGTAACATTATTAATCTCAAATTAATTCAGTCAACCATAAATTATTATTCCTTTACTGCCCTAATTGAAATCTTATCTTCAGGTTCTGCATATTTGTTCTCTACTTTACTCCCTAGAAAGAAAACTGTTATGAATAATTCGTCCGAACGGAACGAAATGCTGCCCACAAAACACGATTTTACTTATGATGAAGAAATGGACCTTCCTGAGGAACAAATTGAATCTTATTCATGGGATTCTGATGAATGTGAATTTTAAATTTCATGTGTTTTAGGTTTGTTGTGTTTAGTGAAAATAACTGTATATAAGTTAAATTGTATATGACCCAAATAAAGTGAAAACATTTTAATTGCTATGTCTAGATTCAGTATTGTACTCCTGAATACATGAACTAAAGATACGATGACATTTAAATGGTTTTAATATGGTGTATCTAAACTTTATTTGTAAGATTATTTTGATTAAAAATATCCAAGAAAAGGTGTGACAGAAATGTACAGAGAGAATAAACAAAATACTCATTAGTAATATATTGAATTTATTGATTATTCGCCGATTATTAATTTGAATCCATTATTAAATGTTATTGTGTATTGTTTAGAATGTTTTTCATTGATTTCTTTAGAACTTATTATTGTTAATAACATTTGAATGTAAATTCATGATTTTTTATTGACTTTCTGCCTTATTAAATAATTCCGTATAAATGTATTTTTGCTGACGACAAATACAAAATATTATAAAATAATAAGGAAATAAAACATTTGATCCTTATGTTTGGTTTCTTTAACTAAAGAGGCTAATATATTTTAGCAGATAAAAGGCCATGATCTGACGACAAGTAATACGATCTCATCCGAAGCTAGTTGACCTAATGTAGTTGTATCCTAACTTGTTAAGACAACTCAGTAACCAAGAATCGGTTCATGTCAACTGCTTAGGAGCATACAATTTGTATGAGAGCTAGTAATATTATCCGGTTACTTAGATCGAAATATTTGGATCGGCACTCAAATTGATAACCCGTAAAGTGATAGTTGAATGCTTTCACTATTAAATCTCCTGTATTCCAATAAAACATCAGTTTTTACCACACAACTAACTCCTATCATTAAAGCGTAGGTCAACACAGGGATAAGATAATACTATTCATTGTACATACCCACAGAATATTTTGTTTTATTTAAAAAAACGTTTTCATCTCTCAGATTTTTCCATCTTACAGAAGTGGAACTATTATTAACCTGAAAAGTATTCAAACCTAAAATAATTGACAGACATTAGGTTCTGTCGTGTGCATAACTTATACAATTCTTTATTCTAATGATGTAGGTTTGTCATACTTCGAGTAAATTTATATTAATGTAACCAGGTTTTAAGCAGAATTCATCCAGTATCTCGGTCTTTTGAGAGCTAAAATGAAGTATGTTGGAACATAAGTTTTGAAATCTCTGTTAGTTAATACATTCTGTACATGATCATTCCTATTGTACTTCAACTTTGAAAGCAAAGTGCTTGCTGTGTAGTCTGGAAACTAAATTTTGACAGGTTTTAAAGAGAGGTTGATAACATTTGTAAAACTAAATTACCGTTCTCTTCTTTTATTCACTCCGAGCAATAATTTCCTATAAAAGTTCCGAGCATATTTGTTATAAGGATTCCAACCTTCACGAAGTGTTAACAAAATGTTGTGCCTATTCATTTGTTTTCAGGACGCTCATAATAATAGCTTAGCTACTTTCAGGGCAGCTGCATATTTTTGTTTGATCAGTGTGATGCAGTTTTTAGATATCATCAGTGTCAAACGTTGAGTTGCACAATGACTAATAACAGCTAAATTCTCATGAAAGTCACTGGCGAATGGTTATATACCCCAACTAACCGATCGACAGTAGTTTTATCAATGCGACCTGGCACTTATGGTCAAATTTATGGCGTCGTTTCTTGTCAACTCTACATGGAAAAGTTTCACATAACATAATCCTACCCCATATATTACTTCTTTAGACAAAGTAGAACAGCTCGCCGTAGTCATAGTTATCTCATATAATCAGTAAGCATGGATATGTACTTAAAGTCAAGTGATTAAGCCATTCAACTACTCTATGTGGATGGATCACACATATGTCACCAGATAAGTTTGCATTTATTATGATCAAAACTTGTTTCAAACATTTGAGTTCTAAATGTTCAAATACTTTTATGTATGATCCTCATCTCCTTCCTTTTTATTTGCTTCTTTTCCTACTTGTCTTGATAAACATTTGACCTATTAACGGTGAACAAATCAGTACATGAATCAAGTTTGATTTAGAATATGCTAACTAAAATGGTCATCAATATAATATGCTGCATTATAATGAATTTTCAAGAGTAGAAGTTAAAATTCCAATTGTAGTCAAAATGAACTCTTGCAAGTGAACGACCATAGGTTATCAAGTTCGGAAATCCGAATGCTATTTCTCATTGTCAATTCTGAGTTTCTTTAGTAAAACCTGATACTTAAATCTAATATAAGTAAAGGGTATGTCACTGACTACACAAGGGATGACATCTACATTAACATCACCTTTTTGTTAATAAATTGAATTTGAATGAACAATTTTATTTGTATTAATTAAGTTATTTTTCAATGTTGATCGTATTTTATTGGAAAAAGAGTGAATAAATGAGTAGTTGTAGTTATCTGACACTGAAGAACTACGTGTTTTCATAGCTCTATGTATAAAGACTTAGACGTTTGTTTATTTTTTGTTGGCTGCCGTCAGTCGGCGTATTTAAGACCAGTTACATAAATATAACCCGCGAGTATCCCCAAAAGTTAGAAATTAATCCAAGAAATTTACCCACAACTGAAGATATCAATTCATTATTGTACTGTTTGTATGAATCTTTCGACTGACGTTTAGAAATACAACTAATAAGTCTCTTATTGGCATATATCCATCATTTTCGGATTGCTTAGATATTGCCCTAAGTCACAAGCATTGTAAGCAGAGATAGACGGTGTTAGCCACCTTCCAATACCAAAACATGTGTATGGGGATTTGTGGAGATTGTAGTATTTTAAGACTTGAATTCACGAGCCGATCTAAGCTAGACCACCATTGGAAACCTTGAAGCCCTGGACGCGAGTGTACAGTGCTTAGGAGTCCCATACTAGGAAGAAATGGTGGTTCAGTGCTTCCAGATTTTCAATGGTGGTTTAGCTTAGATCTACTCGTGAACAAAAATGGTTAATGTGATGAATTTTAACGCGAACGGTACTAGGTCCAAGTACAAACATCTAATGAGTGCAAAAAAGGACGAAACATGCATCCTAGTTTCCACTGCTAGCCACCATCAACCAATGCTTATGAAGACAGCAATGTTATTACGAATCCAAATAAAATTTGACCGTTTGAAGTCGCAGAGTTAGCTTTCAAAATTCAGATTTCAGATAACACTATTGAAAAAAACACACGCTTAAATTGAAAATGAAACATCATTCAAGCGAAATTTGCAAATATACCTCAGTGAAATTTTTCACAAGTTCGTTGATTGAGAGTTAAATAAAATTGATATTTTTGAGTCGTAATGAACGTTTTTATACTAAAGTTTAATTTCCAAAAGAATATCTGTATGTTATTTTCACTCAGCATGTTAGGATAACAAAATTTAACCTCTTCTCTGTATCATAATCCTAGTACCGAAATTACATTCTATGACATTTATGATGCATAATCAATCTGTACTACTTATGAGTAACAAAAACATAGTTAAACATTTTTCTTCACTTGTAGCCAATCGGTTGATCAAAATCTTGCTTTTATTTTACTGGTCAACGTAATAATTATTCAGCCAAACATTTTTCTTTTTCTTCATTATATTCATAAGTGAGCGTTTTTATCACTTAAAACTGGAGATTGTAGCCTGGAGTTATATATACATGATTAAAATGTTTTTGTTATAATAGTTAAAGGTCATGGAGGTGTAAAAATTAATTAGGTGATATGATTAGCATTTACAAATAAAATAATGAGAATATAAGACATAAGTGAAGGGGGATGCAGTAATAATAATAATAATATCTTATTCTCATTAGTTTATTCGTCAATGCTCATCGTACCACTGTGGTGTGAGCTACTTTTATTGATATAAGTAGTATATTACGTGCGTTAAACGAACATAATGTCTGGCAGCGGAAGATGGCGAAGATCAAGAAAGGTAGAGCGAGAACACAATGGAATTTGTAAGAAAATGCATGAACAATGGAATGGGAGACAATGGATTGGTGTTTGCAACAGAAACAGTCCAGTTTGGTTTGATGCATGAATATTTTGCAAATTGACGATCTACTATATTGTATTCGGATTTTGTTGAGATAGTCTGTAATTATTGTGCTAAGTACATCCGTTTGTTCCCACCCATGTTCTTGTTCACTACACCACCTTATTTATTTTTACACATCTATGACCTTTAACTATTATAACAAAAACACTTTAATCATATATGTAGGCAAAATAGAGCTTCATAATTAAAGATTTTTATTATACAAAATAATGAAATCATTAATAATGTGACTAAAATAATGATGGAAGAAAATAACGATAAGAAAAATAACAAATAATGAGGTGGTAATACAAATTATTTTAAAAAAAAGTTCTCTTGTAAACTTTTCACAAATATTTAGTTCGATCAGCAGCTTACAGTGACACACATTGATAATTTGATTTGGTTGAATAAACAATATCTGTTTCTATGATTTAAAATTTTGAAAACAATTTCAGTTTATTACAATTCATTTACTATTTTTGCACGTGCATTAAAACTTAGAAAATCTTTTTGTTGATTTCGTCGACGTTCTCCATTTACTGTTGATCTATTACTTATTATATCTGAATCAATATCACTTATAATTGATTGATGATTGTTCCGTTGAACAAACTTCTTAGATTCGATAGAAATGAGACTATCTTGAACGGATAAAGCACTATTTATCTTATCATTTCTTGATTTATTACTATATACTGGTGAATTATTACGAATACTTGTCAGTGAATTATTATGTTGTGATAATGAAACCATAGAGGATGGATAACTGGATGAATGAATCGTCATCTCGTCACTGGTTCCAACTTTATTTTTTTCTGATTCACTTGATAAAAAGCTGTCATCTGAAATCTAGATAACGAAAAAAGTGTTGTGATATGTTGTATTTGAAAGTATTATTGCAAATATTAACTTGAAATTCATTTCTAACGTAAAATACCATCAATTGGAGAACGAAATAAAAGTACTGAGAACCGAACAATGTTTTTTTATTCTAGTTTTACATTACTCAACACAAAGCACATATGAAATGACATTTGATCGAATCCAACTAAAAGGAACAGTGATCATTAAGAGACATAAAGAGCTTAAAGTTTGATTCAGTATTCGATTGTATGTCTTTACTGCCGAAAAGCTTCAACTTAAAACAAAACAACAGTTCAGTAATATGTGATTATCAATTTTTCTTTCATTGACATTATGATTCAATAGAAAGAACTTTACAATTTTATAGAATTCACTTTCAACTAAAGCGTAATATTCAAAAACGAAGAATATTTGAACGAACAATTGTTTTCAATAACTTCATTATCAGGCTTTACAGTTATAAGTCCATAATCATAATATTTTACAAAGGCCAAAAATAAGGCATGTTTTAATGAGGTTGTCAATGTTATGTGTTAAAAATGGTGAACTGCTAAAGCGTAATAGTAACTATTTTAATCGAGTTTATTTAAG